AAAGATATTTCATGAAAAGAGAAATGAAAAAAAAAAAAAAAGCTGGGGGAGCAACACTTACGTCAGACAAAACAGACTTTAAAACAAAGGCTATTAACAAGAGACAAAGAAGGATCTAGCAATTCCACTTCTGGGTATTTATCCAAAGAAATCCAAAACACTAATTTGAAAAGACATATGCATCCCTATGTTCATTGCAGCATTATTTACAATGACCAAGATACGGAGGCAACCTGGGTGTCCATCAGTGGATAAATGAATAAAGAAGAGGTGATACATATGCACAATGGAATATTACTCAGCCACAAAAGAAGAATGAAATCTTGCCATCTGCAACAACGTGGATGGACCCAGAGGATGTTATGTTAAGTGAAATAAGTTAGACAGAGAAAGACAAATGCCATATGATTTCACTTATATTTAGAATCTAGAAAACTAAATAAGTGAACAAACAAAACAGAAACAAACTCATAGATACAGGGAACATTTTGATGGTTGCTAGATGGGAGGGGATTTAGGGGGATGGGAAAAAGAAAAAAAACCTTAATTTTTTTGTTTGTCACCTGCTTCTGGGTTCTGCGTGGTTTTCAAGTGTAGATTATGTACACCAGAGGCAGAGACGTAGCATAGAAATGAAAATTCTCCACTGCTAGGGTGAACCAGGGAAAACAGTCCCCAATTTAAATCACATGCACGTGGCCACATGACATTTCTCAGGGTTAATTAGGTGGGAAAAAGAAAAATCGAGGCAGCCTCTTCATCTGTGAGTCAGTTCTTAATATGTTCTAGCTCTGCCCCAGCCTATGCTAATTTGGGTCAAGACATGAAAGAAGGCAAGGAGGCCTGGGGAGTGTGCGTGCACAGCTCTCCAGAAACAGGGGGCCAACGGTAGACGATCCGGAAGGTCTGGGGTGGCAGCTTCAGCTGAGCAGTCCCAAGAGTGGGGATGACCAGCTGGAGAGTGGGTGGTGGAGCTCCAGCTCTTCCCCAAGCAAGGTACAGACAGACTGGACCTGCCCATCTTCCCTACTTTCTGGACCCAGCCAATGGCACCACTGCTGACCCAGCTACCTTCAGCTGTTGTGAGGCCGTGTGCCCGAGTGATTACATGCACAAGCTTGACACCAAGATGGACCGGGGGTCAAGGTCTGGCTTTGACCCTTACTACTTCCAATATGACCCTAGACAGGTTCCTTAGCTTTCCTTAGCCTCTGTTTTCTTGTGTGCAATATGACGATACTAGGACCTTCCTGGTACAGTGGTGGAGAGAATTAAAAAGTGATTAGAACATTGTTAGCATTCAATAAGTGTCAACCATTATTATTATTATTGTAATAGTAGTAGCAATAATAATAATAAAAACAATAATAAACCAGATCATCCTTTACTCATTCCTATCTCTCACCACACATTTTTAATTAATCATCAAGTCCTAGAACTTCTAATTTTGCATCTTGCTGTGGGCGGTCTGCATTATGCGAACGATGCGGTATATACTATAGGAGACAAATTCTCAGCTGCGACACAACTGAACGCAGATCTTGCTACTTTATAATGGAATTTTACTGTTTGAAGAGCTGCGAATGCCTGAGGCCATAATTCTGCAATAATTACCATATCTTTGAGAACTTTCTGCACCATCAGTGAGAAAACAGAATTCAAAATTACCAAACAAAATTGTCTTGAAAACCTAGTTTCTTCTGAGCTAATTTACTCTTTTCTAAGCCTGCCTGCTGATAAAAGGTGGCACATATATTCTGCCATGACAATGATATGCTTGGCCTCCTCAAATTACTTGGAGTTCTTCAAGGAATAAAAATCTCTGTGCCACATCTCTAAAGTCTTTTCTCACATTTGAGAATCCGGTCTATTAAAAATAAAGTGAAACCCAGCAAAACAGTCCCCAGTATACTGAATATGTAACTGAGTCACCGAGTTGTTCTAGGTACACACAAAAGTAGGGATCCTTGCACAGCCAGGAGTTAACCACTGTCAAAACAAACTCATTCAGTGGGGAGATAAGCCACCGAAGTCTCCAAACCCCGCTTTTAAAGTCTATCTTTATCAGTTTGTGAATGGATTTTGGAAACCCTTTAACCCCAAATGTCTATGACACTCTGTTTTCAATATGATCCATGTCCGTGTCATTCGATCTTTCTCTGTGATTCTGGCTAGAAACGCTACTCGGCCACCAGCTATTGTGTCACTGCAGCGAGAAACCAAAGTGCTGAGGCTTCTGACGCGCAGGTTTTGAGCATCCTAGCCTCGAACTCTCTCGCTCCCAGCTTTTGTACACGCTGTTTGCTCCACCTAGAAAATTCTCCCTCAACCCAATAACACCCCTGCTTATCCTTCAGGATTCAGTTTGGACTCCATTTTCCCCAGGAAGCATCCTCTGACCCCCCAAATCGGAGCTGGTTGTCGCTCTTTACCAGGCCCTCCCAGGCCACCCTGTACTTCCAAAATTCATAGGATGTACACGTCACACTCCAATTACCCATTTATCTCTGTATCTCCACTAAACTGTCCTCTGAAATAGGACCGCATCCATCTTGTTCACCTTTGTGTCCCCAGTGTCTGGCAAATTGCCTGCTCATAACGGGTGCTTAACAAATATTTAAAGAATCAACACATGAGTAATTTGACAGTAAGTAAACTGTAAAATATTTTTATAACTGCCTTATAATAAGATCCTCAAGTTCCAAGTATAATACTTAGGAGAGTAACATCTAATGAGGTATTTTTAATCTGAGATAATTACAAAGTCAATCAGAATATACCCACTTTTAATTTAAGCCAAGTTTGTTCTATTCGATTAATGGAGTTGGCTAAATAGAAGCTCAAATAAGAGCTTGTTAATTATGCTAATTAACAAATGGCTGAATTAAAATATGTGAGCTATGTGAGACCTAGTTAAAATCTGACGTTACTACGTGGTAAGCACATATTAAGTAACGCAGTTTCTCAAAGGGATAGTTTTTGTTGCCTCACTTATTTGTGGGTAAATTTGAGTAAACAGCTTTGCATAAATTTCCAGATACCCGATGCAGCCCGTTTTGGTGATGGGGTCCGGGGAGGGAGGGATGCTTTATCTCTGGAGGTTTTTCTTCTCAACTCTTAGCAAGGTACAACTCAGAAAGGTTATAGCCAGTATAAAAAGGAAATATTGTATCCTCCTATCCCCTAAGAACCCATTGGGGGATCTCTCAGATGCATGAAGAAAGCCATCAGAAGATGTCTTAAGAATTTTCGTGCTCTAATTTATTCCACAAGGAAGTTTATTTGCCTGACATGTTATTAATGGCATTTATTTCAATAATCCTGGAATTCATGTTTCAGCCCAAAAGTTACTGTCATAAGAATTCCTTCACCAGGTCAAATCCTAAATATCCTTTCCCAGCACCACAAGCCTTTACATTTTTAAAAAAATATATATGATTAATCTATCAAATTTCTCTAGAACTCTAGAACTCAAGCTCTCTGAGGACAGGAACTATATCTGATTTCGCTCACCACTCTATCCCAAGCGCCTGGTACAGTCTTCTGAATAACTGGTACTGAAAAAGACAGATCTGCTAGGTAAACGATCACAGAAGCCACTTTTCTCTAAGGGCATTTGTTGAGTTCAAGAAATTCCAGCTTTCGTTTTGATAACCTCGAAAGGTGATAGGAACGGAAATCACCTCATCCAAGGTGGGAGGTCTAAACAGAGATGCTCCTTACAACACAGTGGAGCCCAGGGACGACACACTGAGAAAACTGGACATGAACCATCCCTTATGACGAAGTTAAGTCTGGGACTGACCTGGGTATTTCTAACAATGGTCTTCAATAACCTACTCCACCTGGCACCGCTCCCTGCTCTTTCCTCCGTGGCCTCCAGTCTCCTCCTCTTCTCCCCTTTCCCCACTTCGCACCGGCCACACTGGCCTCCTGGATACTCCTCAAACGTCCGCAGATCCTCCCGCTTTGGAGTCAGTCTTTCCACTAACAGTCCCTAGCTCTTAACCCAGTTTGCATGATGAAAATCAGCGGTGGTTTGGGAGTGGCATCCAGGGGTTGGAATACTTTTTATATGGCCCATATTTCCTCGAAGTCATCTGAGATCATTTTAGTAGATAATTGTTGAAACTGAGTGATGGGTCCATGCAGCCCCTTACACTGTTCTCTCAAATAAAATGAAACCCAAGCTTCTCCAGTGATTGTTAATATGCAGCAGGCTCGAGAAGCACCAGTCTATAACCCCCAAAGCAGATCATTCATTTTGCCCATAAACATACTAATTGAGACATTTCCATTTGAAAGGCTGTCTTAGTGAATTTAAAAGAGACGTGTAAGATGAAAAATAACAAATTTATTCTCAAAACTACAAGAAAAAGAGTATGCATTTGAATTCACTTTGCAATGTACATTAACAATGAGAACACCTGTTCCACGTTCCATTTGTCTCAGCTCAACTTCCGACCAACGTCGAGTCCACAGAAGGGAAAGATTCCCGGCCCTCAGTCCGCAGAACCTGGAACTTGGCAAGCGAACACGTGAAATTTGCACCCCAGACTCGATCCTCCTGACTCTAGGCAGAGGCTTGTTAACGAGGATGCTCCGAACATTTGAAAAATAAAGGGCCTCTTACTGTCTGACGACTTATCCGAAAGCTCTAGAATACTCATTTGCAGTTTGAGCTCTTATGACTTCCAGTAATGGGTAGCCTACCTTGAGGTAAAGTACAGAGCAGGAAAGAATGAAATTCTCTTCAGTTTCAAATGAACTACTATCTAAATGTGAAAATATTATCAAAGGTAATTACCTTTTCTGTTTGAAAAATAAACCACTCAAATGAATTTACTGGTTCGAAAGAGACTTGTTAATAAACCTGACAAGGAAAAACCAAACTGTCACCCTACTTTTGGCCATAGTAACGGGACTCCGTCAAAGGTTAGCTTCCTCATCTTTGGGAAGTGGGGCCGCAGGAGCTCTATCAGAAATGGCTGCCGAGATGCTTAGATTTGATCTGAGCTCTCCTCGGAAGACTGGGGGAACGGCAAGGACATGCTTATTTGTAGACTGTTCCCACTCATGTTTACTAGACGGCTGTTGATGACACCAAGTTCTCGTATCACCATACTCAGGTCTTCGTGTAACTTGACGATCGCGTTTTTTACTTCCCCTAGGAGAACTGGAATGGAGCTGTTTGCTTCAGTCTCCCTGGGCAGGCCTTCGGTTGTCTGAAAAGTAGAACAGGACATAGAGGTGAAGCGGTCTACGTTTTGGGTGGAAAACTCCACCCAGTTATGGCTGGAAATACGACCTATCTTTTTTGTAGCAGAATCGGAGTTAGCTGAAAGAAGTCTCGGTAGACTGAGGGTGTCATTTTCTTCTTCATCAGAAGATGCTGCACCCAGAGGACCAAAGGGACAACCAGCACTGGCTGTCTTATCCTTATCCTTAAAGAAGACAGAAGACTGTTGATGGGACAAAGTCCAGAATGAAGGTCCGGCCAGCACTGCGGGTAAGACAGGAACAGACTTCTCTGGAGATGCTGAATCAGGAGATGACACGGATAAAGCAGAAAAGGAGGATGTTCCCTCGGAGGTGGTTGACACTAAAATGTATAAAGGAGAAAGATTATGCAAATACAAATGAGAGTAATAGCTAAAATAATTTTACAATGTAAAATCCTATCTGAAAGGTCTCCGCATAAATACACTGCTTGGATTTCACATGCTAAAAAATCATAATAGGCCTAGATAAACCCAAAGCAGGAAATAAAGAGAATCTAAAGATGTATTATATATCAATGATACCATGGAAATGAAACTAAAATAGAATTATCAATATTCATCTTGACTTTCAAACCCTGACTAATACATTTTTACACTTCACTTATCAGAGAGAGCAGAAAAGTAAAGTTTTATACCCTCTTCTACTGGTGGCATTTTAAGTTGACATTTAAAATAGAGTCTGAAAAAACTGCAACTTAGACTGCTTTTTTTTTTTTCCTACAGAGAATAATACTATGGCAAAATGAACAACCAACTACAAGAACCCAAAAGTTGTGAAACTAATCTTTTCTCAATAGTCAAATATGGTCATGAACGAGGTCCAACCCATCCGTGACACACAACGCATACGATTAATTTTTCACCAAGAAACTACGAGTAAAACAAAAAGCATTCTAAGCCTATTTTCCATAAAATTAAAGATTTGGTAACATTTTAACTTCCTTTCAGGCAAAGTCATATTAAATCTCTTCTTTCATACTTCATTCGAAATCGTGATTTTCCAAACTGTGTTCTGAGAAATACTCTGTTCTTTAAGAAATAAAAAGATGTTTTGTGAAAACACGGCTTCAAAGTCAAATAAGACGAATAATTTCCCATTAGGAAATTAGCAATGTTCATCAGCACATTTAAAGTTCTGAGAAATCTACAGTAATTTACTCAATTTTTCTGAACTTTCTTGGACACAGAACTTTATCTTGTCTCCTTGGAATATCTACATACATTCATTTATGCATTAGGTGGTACAAATTGGCAAAGTCCAGTCCTAAAGTATTTGAAACTAACTCTGGACTCGGAAATTAATGCTTACTACTTGGCACACAGGACTTATCTTTCTGTATTATTTTATTTCTTTTACATATCCATGTCCCTCTAAACTAAATTGGATTGCCTGAAAAATTATGGCCAGGGGAGGTGGCTACTATTTTCTGCTTCAAAGCTTTCCAGTTTTCCGGAAAAAAATTCCAATCACAAAATTTTGGGGGGATGAAATGGGTATTCTTAGCTGATGCATCAGCAGGATATGAAAAAAAAGTAGGAACCTCAAGATATGATCAAGACAAGACAAGCACACTTAAGAATTGAGGCCAAGCTTATCCCAACAGTCTATCTTTGGGTTAAGAAGGGTATGATGATGATGGCGGGCTTGCTCGGGATGAAAGCCTCCACATATTTGGGTCCTGAGTCACACTGCTACACTCCCAACTGGGCATGCTCCGTTGGCATCACAGAGACCCATCAGCTGACGGGTCCCTTCGCCATCCTCCTGTGTGGGCTCTCCTGTTTTCCATATCCCATGTCCTCCTCTTTCTTGGTTTACTCTCATTTCAGAGTAGCACATTCTCCAGTAGTTCACTGCAAAAGGATGCAGGAGAAGTAAAAGTTTTGAGAATATGCGTGTTTGAAAATGTCTGTGTCTTACTTTTGGGCTTACTGACAGTTTGGTTAGATAAGCATTCGAGGTTGGCAGGCCTTTAAGAATTGTGAAGGCAAAACTCCCGTCTTCTTGATTTCAGTACTGCCGCCCAGGAGTCGTTGCCATTCTAATTGTCATTCATCGCATACAACGGGTTTCATCTCTGAAGCTGTGCAGAATGGCCTCTGGCTCCCCAGCTTTCCGAAGCTTCTCCCTGTGCCCCGAGGGGTGCTGTTTTCATTCACTCAGGTCCATCTGATGGTCAGCTGACCTAGTCAGGCAACTCATTTCCTCCAGCTTTAGAAAATTTTCTCGAATGCTTTAATCTCCCCCTCTGTGTTTTCTCTGTTCTGTCTTTCTGAATCTCCTCTCGTTCAGCCGTCAGATCTCCTGGACTCACGCTCTGATCTTCCTATTTTCTCTCATTTCCCTCTACTTTTGTCTTTGTGCTCTACTCCCTTAGAGATTTTTTCAACGTTAGCTTTCGATCCTACCACTGAGTTGTTAATTTCTGCTGTTATATTTTTAATTTCCAGGAGATTTTATTTGTTTGTTTGTTTATTTATTTATTTATTTATTTGTTTGTTTATTTATCTATTTGGTTCTCAGAAATTCTTTCTGGAACTCTTATTTTATGGATGCAACATATCCTCTGACCGCTTGTCTCAATGTTCTACGTTAGAAGTTTTTTTCAGATGTCTGGTATTCCTTGCTGTCTGCTTATAGCTAAGAACAGAGGGTTACAAAGTTGCCTGGAAGCTCTGAGTGTGAGTGTGGGACTTGTCAACTTAGAGCTTTGGCGTACAGTCATTTGGGTGGGTCATTTGTTGAGGGACCACTGCTGTCAGTATCTTCAGTTCTTCCCTCCGAGGGGTTAGGCTCTTGTGAGACTAGTTCTCCTACCTCCTGCCTAAGGGAGACCCGGCTCCCAGCGTGCCCGTGTCTAGCAGGGAAAGGGAACTGGGTTCCCACCGGTCGGCATCTGTTTGCACGTGCTCACCTAATCCTGTGGTGCTTGTTACCGTACCCATGCACTCAACCGTACCTAGTATTTCTCATTTCAGAGACCCTCCATCTGCCTTCCCCAGAAAACACATCTCCAGACTTCTGCGGAGGGTGTGGGACCAGGTAAGGGATTCGGCAGTGGTTCGACTGTTTGGCCGGGAGGAGTCATCTAAGGATTTAACTGCATTTCCAATAGCTGTTTTCTAATTCTCTTTATTTAGCACCACCCTCCAAGAGTAACAGGCGGAGTAGGTTTTAGAAATCCATTTTTAAAACGTGAGGCAAAGAAATCTCAGAGGCTAAAAGAGCTCCCCAAGATCACAAGGGTAAAGGGGGCAGAGATGATATGCAAATCAAGTCTCTGATGTCAAAGCATATGATTTAAAACCACTATGTTATATGTTCATGTCATTCCAGTATACCAGAGTTAATTTTACTCTATTATAGAATTATGTTAAATTCTGGTATAAAATTTAGAAGGCAGGCAACTAGGAGGGTGAGGAAACGACATTTTATCTATAAGAAATGGTTGATAGATATGCAAATCTTTACCCACAAAGGGGTAGTGGGAGAATGGGTGAGAGGCTATATTTAATTAATAGAAAATAGTCACAAAACCTTAGTAATACTTATCTTCCATTTCTCATATTGTATATGAGTTAGAACTGAGGTTAATAGGTGAAAGTTATAGAAAAAGAGGTTTTAGCCCAATTTAAAAAGGAAAATTTTCTAATAGTCATGGTTCTCCACACATGAAATAAGCTGCTTTGAGAAATGGCAATTTCCCTGATGCTCCTGGAGCTTGCGCACATCCTGAATCACCATCTGGCAGGAATGTGACAGGCAGGATCCACGTATCAGGTGACAGAACCATATGGCCCTGATGAGATTCTAAAGTTCTAGGACCCAAAACGTATCTGTTAGAGTACTAAGAAACTATTCTAGAAACAATTCACTCTGGTAAGAAGGAATGATTTTAACAAAAAACATTTAAGTAGGCCAGGAGGAAAATAATATGAGTCAAAAATTAATATAGTGTTACCTTATGTATTTGAGGATGACACATACAGTTATGTTCGTCACATAAGTATATGATGTGATTAAAATACCTGGTATTTAACTTTATGCTAGTTAGTGGTTCTCCAGTTGTGCTCACTGCACCTGCAGCAACAGCATCACCTAGGAATTGGTTAGAAGGAAGTTCTCAGGCCCCACCGCAGACCAACTGAATCGGAAACTGGGAGTTGGGCACAGCAAACCGAGTTTTAACGAGTCTTCAGGTGTGCTACAGTTTGAGGATGGATCCCTGCCTTCTACTGCATGGCCACCTTTCGTTCGCTTTGTAGCCGCAACTGCTGGCTAAACAGCCTATCATCGTTTACAGTTTTGCGGCTTGAATTCGCAGGCTTCTCGATGCCTTGGCTCATAAAGGCCGCTTCGTCTCCCAGCGCTGCACACCCGCTTACTCCGGTCTCGAATACCGCACAGCGGTACCAGACACTGCACGCTGCACCCCGGGTGCCTCCCCCCACCCGCCTGGTTACCCTTCTCTGGCCCCTTCTCTGGCTCACTACAGAAGTTATTTGGGCATCTTGTTCACATTCATCATCTTCACACAGTTTATCTACCAGAGCTGAAATGCTGTAATTATTGCAAACAACCTGCAGTAAATGGCGGGATTTAAAAATCTCATCACGTATGCCTGCCAATTAATGCCGCATTTGCTTGAAGATAGCACCAATAAAACCATCCCAAATGCTGATGTGTTATCTCTAACCTTTTATACTTATGAGTAACAATGGACCAGTGAATTAATAATTACACCTTGAAATTTCAAAAGCATTTAGAACTACTGGGCTGCCAAAATAAAATCACAAATACATTTCCAGAAATATTTTAGAACTCTACTTAGTGTAAATGTAAATTATTCTGTAAGCAGCAGGTCCTTAGTCAACTAAATACTTCAAACAGTTCCTTGTAAAACAAGGATTTTTTCCCCCATTTTCCAATTCATGTCTTTCAGACTTCCTAGCTGATACATAATGGCTGTCAAGTTAGCTATACACATAAATTAAAATATTCTGATTTTGTTCTGTGGTTTAAAAATCTAGTATTTTACACAAACACTCATAGCAGAATTATTCATAATAGGTCAAAGTGGAAACAACTCAAGTGTCTATCAACTGATGAATGGATAAATAAAATGTGTTTATCTGCACAACGGAATATTATTCAGCCATAAAAAGGAACGAAGTACTGATACATGTGTGAACCTTGGAAATATTACGCTAAGCGAAAGAAGGCCGACACAGAGGCCACATATTGTATGATTCCATCATATGAAATGTCCAGAATAGGCAAATCCATAGAGACAGGAAGTAGATTAGTGGCTGTAGGAGT